AAAAAAAAAAAAAACAGAACCAGTACAATGACTCTGACCTGTAATCACAGCCCTTAGGAGGATTCCCCGAGCTCTGAGTTCAACAGCAACATAGATAGACCTCTAAAAATAATAAATAAATAAATAAGTAAAAATAAATCCAGTAAGTAACATTTCATCAGACTTGATTTGTTTAGGGAATCAGGTTTTCCAATGATCAGAATCAAGCTGATTTACACTGAATAAATCAGTTCTTGATTTGGCAAAATTCAACAGGTATCAAGAAGCAGCAAACATTGGTACCTGAAAAAAGTAGGGAAAAAAAGATATACAAATACTATAGTGCTCTCCTCTCTCTCTCCCCCTCTCTCTTTCTCGGTAGAGGAACATGGGTTGTGTTTTGTTTTGTGGTAGGGCACGTTTTCCTCCCACTCATGTTTCATTCAAACAGACAGATCTCCCTGTGCTCAGGGCCTCAGAGGAGGACTGAGACTAAACATAACATGAAAACATGAGTTCGTTCCATGTTGTTCTTCAAAGCATGAAGGACTTTAGAGAAAATTAAAGGAACCCAGAATCAAAGCATTTGAGAAAAACATTAAGTTTGAGTAACTGGTTTGAAAATGGAGCTTCCCCCAACACTACGGCAAGCTCAGCAGTGGTAGCAGACATGAAATCATTGGAGTGAGCAGAATGGTGGAGTCTAGTGGTGGGAAAACTGAGTGACGGCCAGCCTCACAAGAGCCACCCACATGTGAAGACCACCATGTGCCCACCTGAGTGGGCACCACCTACCTCTAACATCGAAGGCCTACTGTAGCCGCTGTTCCCATTGGCATCGGGAAAGGATTTTTTCCTTGAACAACTACTAGTCATTCTTCCAGTCATTTCACAGACTTTGCCCCAAGACTCTCCTTGGTCCTTGCTTTACTCATTTCCATGGGAATCCCCCCCAGCTATTGCAACATCCTAAGACTAAGAGTGAAACCCTGGACACATACATGTATAGATAGGTTCAGAAAAAACAACAAAGTGAGAGTATGTATATGAGGAGAGAGTAGCCAATAAATCAACTCAAGCTCCTACTACAAATGAGCAAGGTTTCAGCTTTGGTGCTGGGAGAAAATGCAAAATTAATATATGCACTGAAACTCATTTTCCCCCCAAGATCTCCAAGCTCTAAACGTAGTCAAAATCCACTTGATCACCACCATAGAACATTCTGAACTCTTACTATTGGGTGTGGAGGTAGAAAGGGGGATTCCTTTTTTTTTAAATAATAATGGTAAATATAATGATAGTCTTGGCTTGGAGTTATCATCTTTCTTGTTCTCGATAAAGTTACTGTTCTTAGAAAGGTTCTTATCATGCGAAATAGAAACTTCAAGGGCAATCTTGAGAGTAAGCACTCATTTATGATGCATGGGTGCCACCAAAGACTTTGGTAGGGAAATGGGAGTTTCCTAAACCCTCTTCCCACGTAGAAAGACAGCTCAGAAATCCCACTTCTGCAAGTACTGTGGTCTTTTCTTTGTGACAGGTTAAAGTATCTCTATTTCTCTACCTTAAAAATCTCCTAATCCGAAGATCCCAATAGGAGGCCAATGAGAAGAAACTATCTGTTCCGATCTTAGTCACATAAGCAAGAAAATTTTGCTCATTCAATGCTCTTGACTTCTGGATAAATCATACCAAAAATATTTAGTGATGGCTTATAATAGTCAAGGCATGAAGTCTATGGAAATTGGTATATGAGTGGCAAAAATGGAGTTTATGTTCCCAGGCTTAAACAGTCATCTCTAGTAGATTGTCTACTGATAATATGTACATTCCTCTGGACTCCTTCACACTGTAGTAACTGTAAATAGAATTAGTAAGAGTGGATGTTAGTTTAGTCAGGCTTTAAGATGAAATATACTATTTAAAAACATCCTCAAATGTAAGACTACCTTGATTTTTTCAACAATATGTTCTTCTAAGTAACTGCCATTTCAAGCAGATATTCTTTGGTGATTGCTTTTTTATTTTAATGAAGCAAAATTATAGCTAAATGGTTTGCCAGATGACCACTATGTAGTTATGGTCTAACATACCACATAGCTGGCATGAAAAGATCTTAGAAAGTAATATGAAAAACCACAGGATTTGAATTGACCTTCTGACAGAAATGGACACTTCTATTTCACCTCTACTTGTCATCCGCTTTCTTAAACGCAGTAATATCAGTCTCTACAATGTTGACGGCTTTTTGGAAGACCTCTATGATTGGTCCCATATCGTTGACAATCTGTTCCAATAGATCTGCTGCTGTCTGCATGGGATTGTTGGCATCCTTGATTTTCAGTGCCTCCTGCAACTTTTTCAAGATGTCTGTTGCAGTGGTAGGGGAAGGACGTGGACTCTCGCTTTTCTTGGATGTGGTAGCATCTGATTGCTCTTTGGCGTCTTCCCTGTAGAAGTCACTTAATTGAAGATTCATGATGGGGAGTTTCAACAAGAGTGAAAGAGAAGATTCCAAATTCCCAAGGACGTTACCACCATGTAGCGCAGAGACAAGGACTGGTGTCTGGACATTTTTGAATATTTCTTTAGCTGAGTCTTGCAATTCCTTCACATTGATGTTCTTCTCAACCACACTGGACATAGCTGTTGCAATCTTGGAAGATAAAGAGTCCATCTGGATGCTTTTGTACTTTTCATCCACCACAGATCTCATGTCCTTTAAAGTTTTGAGCATTTGTTCAAAGAAATCCTGGATATTACTGTTTTCTTGCATGGCTACCAAGAGGATCTGAGTATCCATGTTGTGGTTAAACGATTTGATCAGTGTGTTTGTGAAGGAAGTAAGATCTTTTATGTGAAAGAAGAACGTTTTGGCAGCTTCAGCCAGTCTTTCTTTATCCTTTTCTGGCTCCGAAGACATTTCTCCAACAAAGAAGTTTCAGCACTGCAAAGCAAAACAATAATCTCAATGAAAGCTAAAAGTGGATTTGGTAACCATAAAGAAATTAGAAGTATAGTCTAAATGTGAGGGTAATTCTGGCCAAGAGCAGGAAAGCTATACAAATTTTAAAACAGAAATGATCCTATGCTTTGATAAAAAACAAAAATAAATGAAAGCCAATTAGGAGTGTATTGCTGAATTTATACCATATATCAAACGTGGTGTGCTGGATCTTGAATATTTGGATAGGCTGATATATGGAATGACATTAATCTCAAGGATATTACCTTAAACTAGCTATTCAATGTAGGGGAGAAGATTGGCTAAAGCATTAAAAATTATATACAGGGACTCTGGTTCTAGATAAGATAGAATAAATACATTTCATCTGACCTTTCCTACTCATTATAACCAAAAATCCTGGTCAGAATATATGAAGTAACTATCAGATAATGCTTAAAAGGTAGATAACAGCAGGTCATGGACATAAAAAATATAGCATTTGAAGGCCAGTGCGGCAATGAAGTCTCTAGGGGTCTTCCGTTTGGAGTGGGAGTCTTTTATTGGTTTTTTGGGTTTTTTTTTTTTTTTTTGTCTTTTCTTGCTTCTTATATATCTTATCTTGGGCTCTAAGATAGCCTGAAACTAGAACTGTGAACAAGACCAAGTAGGAAAAGCTCCAGAAGCAGCCCACTCTAATAAGCAAGTCAGAAGCAGAGGCCTCTGCCTGGCAGATCCCTTTGAGGCCAAGTACCAGCAGCAAAATGACAACCCTTCCCTCCCTCTCACTTCCCCGGGGCACAGGCAGCCCTTAATGCTTTTAACTTCTGAGTGCTAGGGAGCAACAGCAGTACCACCAACCCCCCAACCTCTTCAACTTCCATTCCCCACAAACACACATATTACCAGCACAGCAGAGCTAAGTTCTTTGGTAAGACCTTGGCAAAAGATAAATCTTCATGAGTGGCGGCCGTAAAGTGAGTCCCCCACCTCTGCCAACCAATCCTCATGGGTTGGATTCCCTTTTCACTCTTTCTACTCTAGTTAGAAGCAACTATAGTACAGGGATGGTGGTGGTGACCTCCTACACATCACTACTTTGTCTCAAGGTGAGACCCAACCAAGAACACGAAGTACATAATAACGGGAATGGCTAAAACCCTGTCTTACTAGCCAGACCCCTGGGAAAGGGGACACCTGGCAATCAAATAGTGGGTGGTAGACCACAGAGAAAAACAGAAGTTATAACAAAATAACACTGTTGGGCTTTTCAATGTATGTAGGCTTAACACATATGACAACTGCGTCATAAAGGAGAGAGGGTAAGGACATCCTCATAGTTGTAAGTTTTCTTTATTTTACTTGAAGGGACTAAATGAATTGTGGAAGTATTTTGTAATCTCTAAAATAACAATTTGAAAAAAGCTGGAGGCGATAGGACCCTGGAGGCAGGTACAGGAGTGATACAGCCCCAAATTAAGGGCTGACAACCATGAGAAACTGTAAGAGGCAAGGAATGGATTCTGCCTTAGATCTCCCAGCTGAAGGGTGGTCCCAGTTGACTTCAGACTTGTAGCCTCCAGAAATGGTTAAATTTCTGCTGTTTAAAGTCACCAGGTTTATGGTAATTTCCGGCAGCAGCCCTAAAATACAGATTTTGGTCAACAGACAAATTTAAATGAAATTCCAAGAATTATTTAAATAACTATTTAAATTATTCAAAAGATAGAAGAAAAAAGAAAAGACATAGATGAACAGCAAAAGATACAAACAGAAAACTAATAATAAACATTAGACTTAATAATTACATTAAATGGGAGTTACTAGAACTATTAACTAAGTTTAACAAGGTTGAAAAATGCAAGATCAA